TAGTGTTATATTTAAGTCTATGTACAATTCAGTAGTTTCGAGGACTCCATGTATAGGACAACTCTGCTTTTCATATGCCTGTGTTCTCTGAACCATTTCTAATGGGCTGTGAAAGGTGACTGAGAAAAACTTCTGAAGAGCTGTGTAGAATGGGAAATAGTTATGTTTCATTTACTTATTGTATCATTATCTAATAGAACTGTCAAGATTTTTGATTAAATTTTTACCTGTACATAGTATAATGGTTAAAGGGGCTAAGGGAATGATCAGAGTACAGGAGGTGAGTAAAGGATGTGGAAGTTTTGTGGCAAACAAGTGGCATATATGAATCTCTTCATCATTAGTCAGAGACTAATAATCTCTTCCACTGGCCTGCTTGCTGAAAATTACTTTCTCATCTCCTTGTTAGGTGGTGATAACGATGAAAAAATCATGTAAAAAAAGGTGTATTTGTTGTCTAGTAGTAATAGGAGATGAATCTTGGGCTAATTAATTATGTAATGGAGATCCTGTGGCCTTTTCTCAGTGGGGTATCCAGGAACATCAGAACCTGTTGAACATGCACAGCAGTCTTAGATTTGAACAAATGAGCCTGTCAGACTTTTCTGCTGCATTTACAGGTAAATATTATGAAGTGCATGTTCTGATACCACATCCACTAATGCCAACTTCTCCTGCAGGCCTGTGGTGTTGAGCAGGAGCTTCTTCTACTGTTCTGTGCTCAGCCACTGAACCTTGTCCCAGGCCAACCCCCACACTTGTCTCAGCTCTGCTGTGACCAAATTTTCCACCAGAGCTTGTCCTCTCTGGCACAGTTGCAGCAAACTGCAGAGTCCATGTGGTACCTTGGGGGCTGAAGGGAGAATGTGGATGATTGGGAAGGTATTTCCAGGTCCTTAAAGATTATTTGTTCCAGAAGAGCAGAGGTGTGTGGTAAATACTGTAAATGAGGTTGGATTTATTTATAATACTTTGGTACTGATGTGGTACAGTTGTCACTCATTGAATCTTCAGTCTGGATGAGGCCTGAGAAAATGACTTTTAAACAAGAACAGTAATTTTGTAAGCTATGGGGCTTTAAATTTTTTTTCCTTCCTCTCCCAGCAGCTCAGAGGCAGTTTTATTTATGCCAGTAGGTGCATAAATGAGGGAGCAGAAGAGATGGGCTGGTTGTACTCCCAAGACTCAATTCTCAATTCTTCTAAGCATGATGTGGAGTGCCCATGCTGTTACTGGGTAGGGTATTAATTGCCAGAGATTTCATCTGAAAGTACTTTGTTTGAATTACATCTAAACTTTTAAGTTCTTGAGCAAAATCGAAGTACATTTTACTAAATACCTTTCCATAGATTTCAACCACAGTACCAACAACAACCACCACCAAACTTTTTCAAGCTAAAATTCCATCAGCTCCCTTACCGCTCTTCCTAGCTTTCTCCACAGTCAGTAAGCTTTGCTTCTCTTGCCCTTCTCTTCCTCCTTGACCCAGGCAACATCAGGCTGATGCAGCTATATTGCATTTGTTTTAGGAAAACATTCCTGTCTTCGTCTCTGTGTTGTGACCCTTTCCTTTTCTCAAGCTTGGAATGCACTGTCTGGTTGGAGAAGGTGAGAGTGGTTTTTATACTGTCATTAAGGACAAATGAAATTTTGTGGTGTCCTTGCACCACAAAGTTGAGGTTTTGTTTTAGATTTAATGTGAATTATGAACTCAAATTGTGTGTAGGTGTTTTCTTTCTGTCTGTAGCACTTATTTGCAAAACAAATTTTCCGTGGGTTGTTTTTCCGTGTTGTGTGTGTGTTGTCAACCAAGCATGTTTGAATCCTGGATTGTATTTTAGTTCATGGAATGTTTTAATTTGATGTTTTGGTGTATTCTTTGTCAAGGACCAAACTTAGAGGGTGTTTTCAGGAAACTCTGGTTTCATCTTTTGTGTGTGTAGTTTGGAGCTCGCTTGTGTTCCTCAGTTTCTTTTGTCCCTAGCAGACCAAGATGAAGCAGTGAGAGTACTGTTCATTTTAATGGCATTTGTAGTGGTTTTGCGTAGATAGAACATCACAAAGGCAGGAATAAACTGAGGGCAGGCAGCCTGTCATTTGATTTAGTTCTTATACACTTACTCTAGGGAGAAAAAAACCAAATTTAAGATTCAAGTTAGAGTTGAGACTTTTTTTTTATTAACTGAAGTTTGACATAAAACTGTCAGAGGAAAATTGCCAGGTTTTGAGTTGCCAGGTTACTTTGAGTAACCTGGTCCTTTATTTCATGGCTGTTTGGTCACTTTGCAGATATTAGCTAGTTTATCCTCCTAAGAGGAATTGATAATTTCTGATAGTAATTATTTTACTTAAATAATGAGACTGTTATTCATGAATCCTTGCTAAAGCAAAACCTTCACCTTTGATGTAAAAATTAATCCTAATAACTATTCTGAAGTTCAATGTAGCCTCAGCGCAAGAATTTCCCTTCTTTGGATGTCTGACTAGACTGATTTTCCCTCACAGGTATGAAAGGTATGATATTTCATGATAAACTGAACAAAACTGAGGAGTATGAATTAATACCTTATTTATTTAAACCTGAGATTGATCAAATAATGATGCAGAGGCCCAGAGGAGTTGTGAAATCTCCATTGTTGAAAATACTCAGAATCTGACAAATCCTTTTAAACTGGATTTGAGTTTTTTTGGAGGTTGGACTCCACAACCTCCTAGTATCTCTTCCAAGCTACATCATTAAGTGCTGCTAGAAAGGTGTCTTCATCTGTCTGTCTGCCAAGGCCCAAGAGATATGTACTTTGTTCATAATGATGTTTTTTCTGCCCCATATTTCTCAACTTACTGATACCACTTTGAATTAACAATGCAGATAAGAAGTTACTGTTAGCAGATCATTCAGAATAAGTCTTCAGGTTTTTTCCTGTTTTCAAAAGACAAACTATCTTAAAGCACAGGGTAACCTCTAAAAATTAGTTGCTTAGCTAGGCATTGCAGTCTTAAGTGAATGAAACATCTCTAAAGCTTGGAGAATTTTGTGTGTTGTGGAAAAATGGCAGGATAAATATGCTACCAAGGTAGCAAGGAGATGATGAGAAGCCATATAGCAGCACTCTGTGCAGCTGGCAGGGCAGCTTGGAGCTAGTCCATGTGTTGTGTGCACTTGATGTGATTTTTGTGCATGTGTTTGAGCTGGTGAAGATGCAGATACTGCAGGAGGTTTCAGGACACTGCTGGCACTGGGCTCTAAGGTACGAGGATCCTGTTCAGGTCTGCATGTGTGGGCTCCTGCACCCTTTTGCCTCTCTAGGTCCGTGGTTTTCCAGCTTGGCAGGAGGCAGTGGCAGCAGCAGGTAACAGGTTTAGGCATATTTATCCTGCTTTTGAGGAATACCAAGGCCAACACCATTCTTACTCAGCCCAAATGGCTCTGCCCATAGGTATTTGCTGTGCTTGGTGAACTTGTGTCAACTTAAAAGTTCTCCTGTTTAAAAATTCTCCTAAGAACAATCTGCTGGCTTAGTTTATTTTGGGGCACTTCCTGTTTACAAAGCTCTTGATCTGTGAGAGTTTTTAGTTTCTTTCTTCCCACTGCCAGTTAGTACTTGACTAAAATGAGTCTTTGTCTGCTCCCTCTTATCAAATGTTCAGGTTTTACCTCTTCATCCTCATTTCGAACATAGAAATGTGTTGTCTGCATTAATCAGCTCTGTATAGTAGAAAGAATTCCTTTCTTGTTGATGGCTGATTAATATGGGTTTACATTTTTAAAGAACTGGTATTTATTAGGTTTTTGGGGAGAAATGCCAGCTTTCTCACTACTTTCTGAGTTATATACTTGACCCAACTGTAACTAGCTGTGTGTACATTAAGGTCCAGTTTTATATACTTAAAAACATTAAAAGGGAGTTCACTAAGTGAATTTGACACCTGTGTTGAGAAGTTTCAAAGTAAAATGCTCACTTTGTGTACTTTGTGAGAATTGTACATGTAAGCTCTGGGTTCCATTGGCTCTGCAATATTGAGCATATTACTAGATTTCATGTAGCTGTTTCAGTCTTCTGAATAGTAGTGATGTAATTAGGTTCAGAATTTCATTTAAAATGAAGTTTATAGAAAAACCTATGCTTTTTAGTTTCCATTGAATTTGTGACTTAGTTGTATAACTAAAAGATTCACATTGCTCTGTTCTCCCAATAGCTTGATTTGGTGTGGTTAAACAAGTGACAAAAGATATTTTCTCCACACCTCTTTACATTTTACAGAGGATGTTAAAACAGCCTGGGGATGATATTGAGTCAAAACTAATTTAAACTAAATATGTCAATATCTGCAATTTGTTCATGAAATGAAACTTCTAAAATGGAAACATGTAATTTTGGTCTCTTAAGCATAACAATTTCATTTTTTAGTCCACTTTAGAGAGCACTTCCTTTCTGAATGTAGGGCTTAGATGTGGAAAGTAGATGTTTGTCTTCTTGAGACCTAGGTGGTCTTTAGACTGTGTTGGATTATGGAGCATAAACTACTGCTAGACTTGTGTGTGGCTTGAAATATATGGGTAAACATACAGATATGTGATTAAGGTAATAAAATAGTAACCTAATTTCATGGCTATCAGAATGAGCTCACATGGTATCAATTTACTTGTCAGCAGTCAAAAACAGTTTAAATACAAGGCACTTAGTCTGTTTTCTTCTGTGCAGTGCTGCTTCATTGCCAAAGATATTTAGTCCAGCTTCCATGTGTTCGTGCTGTGTTTCTACCACATATTTTACTCATCACCTGGGTATTGTTGCTGAACAATAGTAGAACTTTTAAACTTAGGAAAAGATGTGAACAACTTGCACTGAAAATTGAATACTTAGTTTTTGACTTTTTATTGATGTATTTTTGCATCAGTAAAGAAGTGGGGGATGTGTCCTTCAAAATGTCGACTTATCAATATTTGCTTCAAATAAGTAAATTTTACTTAGTTACATGCTTTTGAACTATTTTTATAGGGTTTAGTTTAGCAGCTTTTAAGAGGAACAAGAGGAAGCTGGAGTTGGCCGAAAAGGTGGAAACAGATCTCATTCAACTAAAGAAAAGAAGACAATCAAATGAAAAGGTTAGCTCTTGTTTCAAATTATTGTGTCGTCCTAAACTTACAGCTGACTGCTAATAAACTTCATCTCTTACAAGACTCATGAAGCCTCAGAAGCCTGTTCTCCTTGTCCATCCTAATGTTTAGATGATATAATGAAAACTTAGTGCAGTTAAAACTTTCTGCCTTGCTGTTTGAAAACAAAACCATCACTTTGTGTCTTGTTTGTCCTAAGAAAAATATTTTGCTCATTTTGAACTGGAAATGTGACAGATGTAAATACAAACAGATAATTATTTACCAAAACATTTTCTTCAGCTTGGGATCTCTGTCACTGTTTCCCACTTTTTAATGTCTCCTGAGCACACTGCATTATGGAACTGGAATTGGTGAAATTTGAAATATCATGTAGGTAAACATGTGCATCTGTGCATGCATCTGGCATTGACCTGGCCCTTATTACCTGTGCTACAAAACTACCAGGGATTCCCTCTGTTCCCCTCATTCTTAGTTTAAATGTAGAACTTTGGTAACCTGTGAGAATGTCATTCACAGTATTTTGTTTGATGTTGAGTATCAAAGTATGGGTCATTAAATTCAACGCCTGTGCTTTATTTGGGCCTGTGGGCCTTTGGATTGGGCATTGCTGTCTGACTCCTGCATAGTTACATGTATTGATCTAAATAAGGTATAAATCCCAGAGAATTGTTAGCAAAAGTGTATTCTCTGTAGTCTGCAAAGGCAAATAGTGATAAAATAGGCAATTTGTATCTGTGTTCTTAGATAAGATGTTTTCTTTAGCAAGGAGCTAATTTTAATTTTTTTAAAGAATTTAAGATGTGTGAAGAAATTAAGGATGGGGGAGCCATGGAAGTAGGTTGTTTATTTTGGAACTTTTCCTGTTCACAGGACTTCAGTTCCCTCCTTGTGAACCTGGGAGTGTGAAAGTGTACCTGGGGAGAGGAGGGGTCCCTGTGCAGTTTTGCTGTTCATGTAATAAGGGGCAAGTCAATGCTTGAAACATGTGCCAATGCAGGAGCTTACCAACCTGCAATTTGAAATTTCAAGGGCTCCAGAGTCCTGTGCAGAGCTTGTGGGAGATTGCCAGTGCTGGTAGGTAAAGGAGGTGATCACGTAGAGCTCTTCTCCCTGGTGAGTAATCCAGTAAAAACAGGTTTTAGCTGTCTGGGCACATCCTGCCCATGCAGCAGGGATGAAAACCAACCCATGCTCTCAATATGGGATTCTCATGCTGTCTAGAGTGTAGGGCAATTGCAGCCTTACAGGCAGAAGTAAGGTTTTCAAAGTAATTTTCCCAAATAAAATAGAAATGAAAGATCAAATTCTAAAAGAAAAAAGTAGAATATATCTCCCCAAACTAGTAGAAAAAGGTCATTTAGCAAGGATGAGGCTTGTGATTTGTTGCCCCAAAACTCACACTGTCAAAGCTGTTCTCTCATAAAAGGTTTTCAAATAACTGGTTTAAAACCATTTAAATAGTTGAGTAATTTGAAGTTAATTTTCTTGTCAAAGTTATTTTAATTGGTAAATACTCCTGTAACTTTTCTTATCATCTGTGCTTCTCTAGAGCTGCAGACCATTCCTTTCAGCAGGATTTCAGAGCTGGATTAATTTTTGGTTTGACTCACCCACTTCAACTCTGTGCTGCAGCTGAGCCTGTGTGCCTCTGTCAGTGCTGCAGGCTGTGGGGAGAGCAAGGTCGAAAAGGTGTTTTAACACAGGTTGAGTTGAATGGGATCAGAACTAATAGGCCAGTGTGAAGAGATAGTATTGTGACCAAAACACACTGAAATTACTTGGAAGTTTGAGCTACTGATAAATATTGCCAGCTAAAAAGAAAAATACAGGCTTTAAAATTAGTTTTCAATAAAAATGTGATGATACCAACCTTAAGAAGAATGAGGCTGTTTAAATTTGTCCAAGTTTGTATGGAAAAACTTGGCAGTGTAATTTACTACAGGAGTTTTATTTCCTGATAAATGGAGCTTTTTCTGTGTTTTTCTTTGTTCACCCAATGTAGCATTTGCAGAGGGTTATGCATTTGCATACAGGAAGATCCATTAATAACTTCACCAAATTTGGAAGGTGTAAAACTTTTGTCTTTTTCAAGTTGCAGAGTCTTACTGATTTACATAGCTATGAAAAAATTCACACACAAACAAAAATTAACTAAGCATTCTCATGGAGGTGTCTATGATGTGTTCATTCAGCCAGATGCCATTCTCTAATTCTCCCCTCAAGCACCTGTAAATATCAGAAGTAAATATTTGTCTGCTTACTGTTAGTCTGTCTTTTACCAGAGGAAATTGTTGTTGAAAATAGCTTAGCAGAGTTTGGCTAGAAACCCTAATTTTACTTTGTCTTTTGCTATTGAAAAGAAAAGTACAGGTTTAAAAATAAAAAGACAGATTTAAAATTTAGATCACTTTTACAAGTGATCTCGGCATATCTGTAAAAAGTTGTCCTCTTCTTGGTTTGAGTAAGTGACACTAAGAATCCCTAGAACATACCATTTTTTTGGAACAGATTGGTGTTTGTAAGTTAGTATTTTATAGCTTAGTTATTTAACTCTATAAATATTATTTAGGTTGAGTTTTATTAAAACTGGCTTGGTTTTTATCTAGTTCAACTTAGGTACTGACATATGTGTACACCAGTTGGAATTATATGCATGGAATCAACAGTTCCATGTGCTTCTGTTACTGTATTAAGACTGAACAGATTTAGAAAATATTTCTGTCTATGTGCAGGTAGTTGTAAGTGTAGCAGTCAACTATGGCAATCCTAGTGTCTGTCTTATTTAGTCTTGCAGTTTGGAAATTTCCTTAAAAAAGAAATAAATGCTCCATCTCATATTTGTGTGCAAATGGTCTCTGATAATAAAACCATACAGTTTTCAAAATTATGCTTCAAAATCCACTGAATACGGGAAAAGAAACCTAAATAATTTTCACCCATTCTAGTTAAGTTTTGATGTTCTGTTTTGGCTTTATCTGTGGAAATGCAGTGTGGAGTAATCTCCTCATCTTGCACATGAGGATCAAACAAAATGTTCTTTTTTACACACCAAACAACTTTAAAACTGGGAAGGCTGGGATTGTTCATCAGGCTTTGTATAATTACATAGTTGGGTAATAGCATGTAAATATTAGTTGCTTCAATGTGGTTAATTTTGTATTTTGTCAGTTATACTCAGAAATGAGATTTAGTGGTAAATACTTTCCATGGCATTTCAAAGCTTTTTCAAGTGGAGAGGGAGAAGACTCTGTGTGTGGAATCTTTCAGTGGGCAGACCTCTCCTAATCTGCTAATTGCTTCCTGAGGGGCTTGTAGTGATGAATATTTACAATTTTTTAATGTGCAGAAGGGAAGGAGGGTTTTTTAAAAATGCTTGATAGAACTCTGCATTTGTGCAGGTGAGCATCTTTCAGTTTTTGTGTGCATGTTCTTAGCAAAATCTGAGGATTTGGACCATGGTTTAATTCATTAATTTCCTTTCGTGCTGCAAGGTGCAAATTAAGTAATGTGAGGTCTGATTTATAACAATGACTTTCAGTTTTTTTCCATGCCAAATATTAACTACATAGTAGATTATATGTAGGTTGCAATACTGCATTGTAAAAAACCCCAAACTGCATTTGCAGTGGACAAGTATAATTTAGTAACTGATTCAGACACAGAAGTTGTTAACAGATATCACCAAGTTTCCTTTGGAACCTGCAAAATTTTAAAATGTAAGTAGCTAAGTAAATCAATCAATAGAAAGGTAAGGACAAGCAAGCTGGATCTTGTTTAGTCCCTATTGGACCTGTATCAAGTTTGGTCTTATTTTAGACTTTGTGAATTGTAGTATTATACTTTCTAAATCATGCTTTCTAATATTTTCTAAACATGCTTTTATTGTCCTGACCCTAGCTTGACAGGACCCTGTACTTTTCCACATTGATGTGATGTGGAGAGATGAAATGTGTGACACTGAAAGGCTTCTCAGCAGATGCAGCCTTGCAGTGACTCCTCAGGCACACGATGCTTTTCCACAGGGAGATGTACAAAAAGTTCCTTTGTTAAATTGTGATGAGCTCTTTATTTTACTCCAGAAATCAGGGTTGCCAATACAGTTCATGTGTGTAGAAGATGCTGACAATGTTTTTTTTTCCCATTGGATGGGGAGTAGAACATTGCTGATTTTCAGTTTGCTGAGTCAGGGTAAATACAGCATCACCTGTATATCAGTGACTTTTTTTAATCACAAACCAGTCCCATTTCCCCCCACCCCAAACCTGTACTACTGAGAAGAAAAATACAGAATTCCTTTGCTTCAGAGATACAGATTTCCTTCAGAAGGATGTGTGGGCCAACTCAACCTTCTCTTAGCAATGCTTCCCTTAGAAAAGATGTCCAGCCTCGAAGTTGCCTCATTTAAACAAACTTTGATAGGCTAGATTTGTATATTTGTGGCTGTCTATTAATTAAGTTTTTTGTTGTGGGTATAATTTCCTTTAAAAAAAAAAAGAGGAAATTATATATGTATATATGTATCTCAAATATATATTTGATATATATTTTAACATACATATTATGTAGGTTTATATATTTTTATATATATAATCAATTATATGTATATTATTATCAAATTATTTGATAAAAGAGGGCAGGGGTGTAGATAGCACCACTTGGATCATAGTAGTTCTTCTGTACAGAGAAATCATAAGAGAATTCATGTTGGGAAGAATTTTATCTGGTCTGGTCTTGGAAACCTCCAAGGATGGGAATCTGCACATCCATGAGCAGCCTGCTCTGCTGGTTAAGGTCTTTTCTGTCCCCTGAGTAGTATTGTTTGAGCTGGGTTTGTTTTAGCTCAGGCTGTATCTGGGAGTTCTGGGAGCTGGAAAATACATTTGCACATGAGATGTTGAAAAAGTGTTCCTTAATATTCTTTAATCTTTAGAACCTGGAAGGGAGCTGGCTCTTTTCTTATCCTCTTTGCTCCCATAATCCTTTTGTTTCTACTTTTCCTACCCTCCCTGATCCATCCTTCCTCTGTTTTTCAGCTTATCCTTCTTCCCAGGACCAGTTGAAACTCTGGATCTCTAGCTTCTCACCCCTGTCTGTCTTTAAGCAGTTACTGTGTTTTATTGCTGGGTCATTAATTTGTTTTAGTATTGAGTGGTTAGTGCCAGCATTTGAGTGCAGAACTTGCCAGGGAAGATCCAGGTGTAGGTGCAGAGAAGAAACTTCTGTTTCTCTGGGTGAAATCCAAGGATGAAACTCCTGCCTAGGAGTTCCTGTTGCTTGAAAAGTACTGTAGAATGTGGTAGCATATTTTTCATTTTGAGACTGACTGTACTGCATATTTTTCCTTTTCAGACTGACACAGGGTTAACCTAAGTGTTTTCTCTTAAATTAAGTGTGGCCAGGGTATCATCAGCATTGCAGTACTAGGAACCATGCTTGAGAAGTGACATAGTATGCCCAAGGGAATTTTAATTGATGATGGGAACTTGATAATTTGAAGTTGAATAGTTAGGTGATTTGGGGTTTTTTTTTCTGAATTCTAGTCCAGAAAATTCACATTTGTGTGAAAAGCTTAATCACCTTTGGCATTATTTCACTGGGTAGGTCTGTGTAAGAGGCTTGAGGCTTGTGCAGCACCAGTGTGCATCTCTGGAGTACATGATGGGTGATGGATCAATTCTGTTTATTTGGTTTAACTTCTGTACACTGCATGCTGTGTGTGTGGTGGAGCATGAGGTGTGAGTGCCTTGCCCTGGGTTCTGCAGAGAGGGGGAAACTGTTCCTTCTGTAAAAGGGACTTAGTGTGGTGCATTAAGGAATGGGGAAAGGATATAAAGGAAAACCCCTGCTCCTGGGGGAGTAAATCTAAGTCAGGAGTCATGGAAGTAACTTTTCTTGTTACAGGAACAAAGGGTACAATTGCTTTACTCACCAAAGATTCCTGAGCTGAGAACAAGTCTGGAAGAAGGAATCTGTCCTAGGGGAGATTTTTTTTCCTTGAGGCTTCTATTTATTGTCTTGCTCAGAATATCAGTATTTTCTCTTTACGTGGTAACCAGCTGCTTGGTTTTTTTCTGGTGGTGCTTTGTGGGTTTGGGATTTTTTTGGGGGGGAAGTTGGTTGTTGTGATTTTTTCTTTTTTTTTTTTTAATTTAAGTTTTTAAAAATCACACATCTTCAAAGATCAGAGCCTCTGAAAATGCTTTTTCAGGCCTTTTAGGAGAGGCCTTTTAATGTGGCATCAGTTGCTGAATAATTTCTTAGTGGACAAGTGGCAACCACTATGAAAAAATGACTTCTGGCATGTCTGTGAGTGATCTAAGCATTGGATTAGTTCTGAGATATTTATTACTTTCTTGCTACTGGAGAAGTTTTATTAAGGTCCTATCTGAGACAAAGCAGCATTTTGGCAAGATGTTTGGCAGTGGGTACGGGTGCATGATAATAAATCCATTTGGTTGCTAGGCTCTCACTTGCACACTCCTAAGGAGTATGATCTGACTTTAATATACTATTTTTGCTAGGATTTTTTCTTCTGTTTGTGTGTCCTGCAGGAGAATGACTCAGGAACCTTGGATACAGTTGGTGCAGTTGTTATTGACCAAGAAGGAAATGTGGCTGCTGCTGTCTCCAGTGGAGGTTTAGCACTGAAGCATCCTGGAAGAGTTGGTCAGGTGATCATTGTGCATTTTTAATTTTTTTTTTTTTTTGATTGGGAATTGTGGGATCTCAGCACCTCAGGACTGAGGTGCTGAGTCACCGAGACCACCCTTGGGGGGCTCGGGAGTCCTGGAATGTTGCCAGAAGTGTCTGGTGGCTGGACTTTGAT